GGACCAGAAAATTTCAAAGGTCAGCTTGAGAAGACAAACTCAAATATTATAACAAAATGTGCAAAGACCTGGAGTTAGTAAACCAAAAGGGAAGAACTCACTCAGCATTTCTCAAGCTAAGGGAACTGAAGAAAAAATCCAAGCCTCGACATGCGTTATTGAATGATTCTCTGGGCAAATTATTGAATGAAGCAGAAAGCATCAAAAGAAGATGGAAGGAACACACAGAGTCACTGTACCAAAAGGATATGGTTGATGTTCAACCATTCCAAGAGTCAATGAGCCTGAAGGAAGAAGTCCAAGGTGCAGCGAAGGCATTGGCAAAGAACAAGGCACTGATAGAATACAAACCAAAATCTTTCAACAAACTGATGCAACACTGGAGGTACTCACTCATCTATGCCAAGAAATTTGAAAGACAACTACCTGCCCAACTGATTGGAAGAGATTCATATTTGTGCCTATTCCAAAGAGAGGTGTCCCAGCAGAATGCAGAAATTACTGGACGATATCATTAATATCACAAACAAGTAAAAGTTTGCTAAAGATAATTTTTAAATGGCTGCAATCATACTTTGACAGAGAATTTCCAGAGATTCAAGCCAGATTCAGACAAGGATGTGAAATGAGGGATAGCATTGCTGACATACAATGGATCTTGGCTGAAAGCAGAGAATGCCAGAAAAATGTTTATCTGTGCTTTATTGACTACACAAAGACTTTCAATTGATTTTAAACCATTGGATCATGACAAGCTATGGACAATATTCTGGAGAATGAGTATTCTGGAACACTTAATTGTGTTCATGAGGAACTTATTAATAATCAAGAGGCAGTTGTTCAAACAGAAAAAGGGAACAAACACCAAATTGTTTAAAATCAAGAAAGGTGTGTGCCAGGGTTGTATTCTTTCACCATACTTATTCAGTCTGTATGCTGAGCAAATAATCTGAGAAACTGAGTTATATGAGGAAAAACATGGCATCAGGATTGGAGGAAGACTCATTAACAATGTGTGATATGCAGATGATATAACCTTGCTTGCTGAAAGCAACGAGGATTTAAAATACTGATGGAGATCAAAGACCACAGCCTTCGATACGGGTTGCACCTCAATGTGAGGAAAACAAAAATCCTCCCACTGGACCAATAAACCACATCCATATAAATGAATAAAAAATTGAAGTTGTAAACGACTTCATTTTGTTTGGATCAACCATCCACACTCATGGAAGCAGCAATCAAGAAATTAAATGGCATATTTCATTAGGCAAATCTGCTGCACAAGACCTCTTTAAAGTGTTGAAGAGCAAAGACGTCAGTTTGAGGACTAAGGTGTGCCTGGCCCACGCCATGGTATTTTCAATAACCTCATATGCACGCGAAAGCTGGACAGTGAATAAGGAAGACCATAAAAGAATTGATGCTTTTGAATTATGGTGTTACAGGAGAATATTGAATGAGACATGGGCTGCCAAAAGAACCAACATATCTGTGTTGGAAGAAGTGCAGCCAGAGTGCTCCTTGGAAGCCAGGATGGCTAAACTTCGTCTCTCATATTTGGGACATATTGTCAGGAGGGACCAGTCGCTGGAGAAGGATATCATGTTTGGTAAGGTGGAGGGTCAGAAAAAAGAGGAAGACCCCCAGTGAGGTGGATTGGCAAAGTGGCAGCTTCAATGGGCTCAAGTGTGGCAACAATAGTAAGATTGACCGAGGATCGGGCAGTGTTTCATTCTGCTGTGCATAAAGTTGCTATGGGTCAGTACTGACTCAGAGGCACCTAACAACAACATATGGATGTGAAAATTGGACAGAGAATAAGGAAGATCTTAGAGGAATTGATGCATTTGAATTATGGTGTTGGAGGAGAATATTAAAAGTACCATGAACTGCCAAAAAAATAAACAAATCCGTGTTGGAAGAAGTACAGCCAGAATGCTTCTTTGGAGTCAGAATGTCCAGACTTCATCTCTTATACTTCAAACATAGTATCAGGAGACACCAATTACTGGAGAAGGACATCATGTTTGGTGCCTTAGGCTGGGTTCTCTAGAGAAACAAAACCAGTGCTACTTATGTAGATGATGTGACACTGCAAGAAAATGTGCTGGACTGCAAGGTCAGTTTGAGCTGCAAGGTCAGTGGTTCAAACCCTCCAGAGGCTTCATGGAAACCTGATGCAACAGCACATAGCAACAAACAACATATAGAGAGAAGTTTCTATCAAGGAAATGGCTTAGAATTATAGAGATAGTAGAGTCTCAAGTACAGGCCAGGCAAACCAAGTACACTGGGCAGCTCCAGAAAGCAGGAATCCCAAGTTGGGGCACAGAGCAGGACCTCGGCACTGGAGCAGGGGTGGTAGCAGGATAACGGTCCACCAAGGCCTTGGCAGGCGAACTGCAAAACTGGCAGCATGGTGCACACGAGCCGGGGCAACAGGAACAGGCATGCAAGGCCCTCTGGTGAGCATTTGGTTTAGTCTGCTAGAAGGTCCAGCCAGCAAATGTACAACAGAGAAGGACACTGGCTCAGGTTCAAAGAACTGGAGGTTGGGGGATGACTCAGACGTGTGACCCAGACTCAGTGAGGAAGAGTGCGAGTCTTTTATGCATGTCCATGATATCACGGAAGCAGCAGTCAAGAGATCAGACGACGTATTGCACTGGGCAAATCTGCTGCGCAGGAACTTTTTAAAGTATTGAAGAGCAGAGATGTCAGCTTGAGGACTAGGGTGCACCTGATCCAGGCCATTGTGTTTTCAATAGCCTCATATGGATGCGAAAGCTGGACAGTGAATAAGGAAGATCGTAGAAGAATTGATGCCTTTGAGTTGTGGTGTTGGAGGAGAATACTGAAAGTGCCATGGACTGCCAAAAGAACCAATAGATCTGTTTTGGAGGAAGTGCGGCCAGAGTGCTCCTTGGAGGCCAGGATGGCTAAGTTTCGTCTCTGATACTTTGGACACATTGTCCAGAGGAAACAATCGTTGGAGAAGGATGTCATGCTGGGTAAGGTGGAGGGTTGGAAAAAAGAGGAAGACCCCCAACGAGATGGATCGGCCAGGTGGCATCATTGATAGACTCAAGTGTGGCAGCAGTAGTGAGGTTGGCCCAGAATCAGACATTGTTTCGTTCTGCTGTGCATGGGGTCGCTATAAGTCGGTTCAGACTTGATGGCACCTGACAACAACAACAACAACAACAACAATGATATTGGGAGCAGGTCACACCCCCAAGGAAACAGCCCTTCAATTGATTAGCTGCTCATAGCCAATCATCATAGAATCAAGTTTCACCTGCCAAACAACTGGGAATCCTGGCTCAATCAAATTGACACAGAACCTAACTATCCCACTTGGTAAAGTGGAAGATTAGAGTAACAGAGAACGACCCCAACAAGATGGATTGGCACAGTGGCAGCAGCAGTGGGCTCAAGCATAGTAACGATTGTGAGGTTGGCGCAGGACAGGCCGTGTTTTGTTCTGTTGTGCATGGGGTCACTATAAGTCGGTACCAACTCTATGGCACCTAACAACAACAACACTCCAGCACCACTCCAATGAGAGGAAGTGTGATAGAAAGGAAACCAGAGTGGGAAGTCTAAACCAATTGCAAGGCGAAACATGGCTAAGGCTCCTTCTGAAGCCTTGAAAATGTCTGCACTAGTGTCAGCCCTGAAGCCCCATAGCAAATTCCTTTCTGACTTTGACTTGTTATAACAATGATGTGATTGCCTTCACACTAATCCATTTATACTTTGGTTTTCCTTGTGATGGATGGAAGTATGACAACTACAACCAGCAGCAGGAATGCTGTTGGTCATGAAACTAGAACTTTATAGGAACAAGTTTAATCCACACTGAAGCACATCACCATGTCCTCCCACTATCTCTTCCCTATAAGTCACCTTCTTGTTCCCTGTCCTTGGGCATACTTTTCCTGTTTCTCTTCCTGAAGTCCCCACCCAATAATCACCCTTTTCATCATCTCTCTGTCTGCCCCATCGTGCTTCCTAATGAGTCTGTCTTCTGTGACTCTCTCTCCCTGTGGTTCATTGCCATTTGGTTTACACTTCCTTAGGAACCTTCTAATTACACCAGCTGTTCACAGCCTTCCCTATGGTCATTATCCTCCCACAGAATGCTTACCCACTGGGCCCCATTCCCTCCCTTTGCCTGAGCTTTCTCTTGGGCTTGTTGGGATAAATATCTCAGCCACTCTAAATGATGTTCATTGAGTACCACTCCACACATAACAGGAGGTTGGGTTGGAATGCGGAAAATAATCATTATAGCTCTTATTTATTGAGGGCTTATTGTGCTTATGTCTGATGTTGGGCTAAGCTCTTTATGAGCATGATCTCACTTCATCTTCACAACAGTTCTTTGTGGTACGTATTATTCCTGTTTTATAGATGAGGAAACTGAGGCACAGAGAAATTAAGTAAATTGTGAAACATCACACAACTAAGTAGATCCGTCAGACTAAGAATACAGATTCAATTCCAAAATCCAGGCTCAAAATCAACATGCCCTGCTCCTCTGTGAGAGCATTTCTGAATTTTAGACCTTATCTAACTATTTCAAAGTGCCACACATCATTTGTCAATTCTAACCCAGTTTCTACTGTCAAGCCAATCCCAACTCCTGGCCAGTCCCGGTGTATCTGAGTAGAACAGTGCTCCACCGCCAATGCAGACATAGGGATAAATCCTCCCAATTTCTTCTTTTCTTGCAGTTGCCGCATCAGTGACATTATTTGTCTACATTCTATTACTTCAATTTCCTTGCTAAATGTAGAGGAATTAAAATTAAATTTTCACAGTGTAATTTTAATCGATCGCATTTGAGTGTAGTAAATTACTCTCTGAAAAGTGAGCCACTTGGAAACTTCAAGAAGCCTTCTCAAATAACTTGTAATTATAATGAACTTTGTTGATGCTATGTACATTTTTATTGCATATAATTTGCTAAGTATGTAATGATCTAGTTAGAGTCTATAGTTCACAAAGTTAGAGTTCGAAGTTATATTTCCTCAGTAGAGGGTATACTACCATATGGGATGCTTATTTTATGTCTCTAGACAAGCCATGCGTTGCTACACAGCAGGCATACAAATAAGGCCTTACTAAAAAGAGAGAGAGGTTAGACTATAATCTGTTTTGCAAGCACACTTCAAAACAATCCAAAGTAAAGAATTACATCCCTTAAACCAATCAAGCTAAACAAATTAACTAAAATATTTTTATCCCATTGAAGATTTTAAGAATTCTCCTAAAGATGCTCAGGAGAGAAAATTCCTTGTTCTTTGAAAATAAAACCGAAAAGAAAGTGAATGAATGTTTCTAGCTCTGATAAAATGCACTGAAGACTTTCTCTACATCATGCACCCTCCAAGTGCTAAGTCAGAAAACAGACAGAATAGTAAACAAACTGTTGGCTGCACCTTCAAAAGACAGCTGAACTAATCTGCTTCCCACCTCCTCCACGGCTAACCTCTTGGCCCATCTCTCACCTGGATTATTGTAACAACTCCTACCTGCTCTTCCTATTATGCCTTTGCCCTACTTTATTGTTGTTGTTAAGTGCTGTGAGTCAGTCTGACTCATAGTGACCCTATATAGGGTTTCTGAGGAGCGGCTGGTGAATTTGAAGAACCCGCCTTGCGGTTCAAGCCAACCTTGCGGTCCACAGCGCATTATCCCACAGCGCTACCCCAGGACTGCCCTACTTTGGTCTACTGATAACAGAGTATTCAGAATGACCTTCTCTGCTCAGAACCCTCCACACATCTCACTTCCTTTTAGGAGGACAAGCTGGAATTGTTAGGTGGCGCTAGGAGACCTTAAGTCCTCTGGCTCCCAAGTGCATTTGTGATTTCATCCTCTACTCACCTTGCACTCTGACCTCAGGACTGGGGTTTACTTGCCCCTCTTCTTGGGAGACTCCTGTCCCAGAAAGTCACTTACTTAGATTATTTGCTCAAATGTCACCTTCTCAGTGAGACCTCTCTGCATCACCCAAGAGCAACCCCGTTCCCCAACCAAATCCTAATTTCCCTAATTTCCTTTACCTTGCCCTACTTCTCTTTCCCCAACACTTACTACCTTTCCATATACTCTATAATTGATGCTTTTCCTAAATTCATTGACTGAATCCCTCATTGTAATATAATATCCAAGAAAGCAGAGTCTTTCCTATTGGTTTGTGAAGTGATCTAATACCAGCACCTAGAATAATGCCTGACACGTGGTGGTGGTGGTGACTCTGTGCCGTCAAGTAATTTCTGATTCACAGTGACCCTGTACAGGGTTTCTGAGACTGTATATCTTTACAGGAGCAGAAAGCCTCATCTTTCTCCCTAGGAACAACTAGTAGATTTGAACTGCTGACCTTGCGGTTAACAACCCAGCTTGCAATCCATTATGCTACTAGTGCTCCTTCTGAGCACTTTGTTATTGTTGTTATTAAATGCTGTTGAGTCAGTTCTGACTCAGAGCTACCTTCGTAGGGTTTGAACCACCAATCTTGTGGTTATCAGCCCAGTACTGTTCCTGCAATGCCACAATAGGACTCCACCCAAATATTAGTTAAATGGATGAATCTAAGGTGACTCAGATGTTTCACTTCATGCTTCTTTGGCTTCCCATAAATGGCCATGGTGCCAGCCTCCTTGAAATCTGAGAGGATTTGAAGAGCTATGTATTAAGAAATCACCCAAACAGTGATTTCAAAAGTATAGTCATATTCTTCAGGGGTCTGATGAACTATTGAAATCTTCCTCATGATATCTTGGATGGTTCTCTGCCTTGCTAAATACTCAAAATAATTGATCATATCAGAGACAAAATTAATTAAATTTTGTGTACTGTGGAATCAAGAATTCCATTGATTTTCTCTTTTCCCTTACTTTGGTGTGCACAGCTTTGAGTTTGTGATGAAATTTTTACAGCTATTGTTAACCCCTCCATGTGACATTCTCTAGGCAGAGCTGTGGTGATTTCAGCAAGCATTTAAAGAGTCACCAGTATGTGATCCTTGTTAAATATAATTGTTAGAGTATATCTTTATCTTTCAGAATGATAACCTCTGTAGAGTAAGAATTGCCCTTGGACAATGTGAGAACAATGAAACCTAATGCTAGTTTTATACTTTCAATAAACATTGAAATCTGACAGACCTTTTGCTAGATGCTGGGGACCCATAAATGAAAGAAAAACCAATCATTGTCTCAGGCTGGTGTTATCTAAGGGTGGTAAATGACTAGCAGGTAAATGCCCAATAAGTCTATGAGATGTTAAGTGCTAGTGCATGACACTGTAGGATAAGCCGTGGACTGCTAGACCTTGGGAACCCTATATGGGATCACTGTGAATCGGAACTGATCAACCACATTTAACAGCAACGCGGCACAACTGATTTAGGAACCTTGGTGATACGGTGCTTGGCTGTTAACTGGTTAAG